TAACAAGTTGTGTCAATGCTGTTCCAACAACTTTTCAACATGTCTGCTCAACAGACTTGTAGCAAGCTTGTTAACAAGTTAGGACAATGCTGTTCCAACAACTTTTCTACAAGATGTGTTTGCAATGGGTTTGTAGCAAGCTTGTTAACAAGTTGTGACAATGCTGTTCCAACAACTTGTCAACATGATTACTCCTGTACGGGTTTGCAGCAAGCTTGTTAACAAAGTTGTGACAATGCTGTTCCAAAAACTTGTCAACAAGATATTTCCTCAACGAGCTTGTAGCAAGCTTGTTAACAAGTTGCGACAATGCTGTTCCAACAACTTATCAACAAGATATTTCCTCAACGGGCTGGTAGCAAGCTTGTTAACAAGTTGTAACAATGCTGTTCCAACAAGCTGTCGACAAGATATCTGCTCAACGGGGTTGCAGCAAGCTTGTTAACAAGTTGTGACAATGCTGTTCCAACAACTTGTCAACAAGATATTTCCTCAACGGGCTTGTAGCAAGCTTGTTAACAAGTTGCGACAATGCTGTTCCAACAACTTGTCAACAAGATTTTTCCCGACGGGCTTGTAGCAAGCTTGTCAACAAGTTGTGACAATGCTGTTCCAACAACTTGTCAACAAGATATTTTCTCAACGGGCTTGTAGCAAGCTTGTTAACAAGTTGTGACAATGGTGTTCCAACAAGTTCTCAACAAGATATTTTCTCAACAGGCTTCTAGCAAGCTTGTTATCAAGGTGTGGCAATGCTGTTCCAACAACTTGTCAACAAGATATTTTCTCAACAGGCTTGTAGCAAGCTTGTTAACAGGTTGTGACAATGCTGTTCCAACAACTTGTCAACAAGATATTTTCTCAACAGGCTTGTATCAAGCTTGTTAACAAGTTGTGACAATGCTGTTCCAACAAGTTGTCAACAAGATATTTTCTCAACAGGCTTGTAGCAAGCTTCTTAACAAGTTGTGACAATGCTGTTCCAACAACTTGTCAACAAGATATTTTCTCAACGGGCTTGTAGCAAGCTTGTTAACAAGTTGTGACAATGCTGTTTCAACAACTTGTCAACAAGATATTTTCTCAACAGGCTTGTAGCAAGCTTGTTAACAAGTTGTGACAATGCTGTTCCAACAAGTTGTGAACAAGATATTTTCTCAACAGGCTTGTAGCAAGCTTGTCAACAAGTTGTGACAATGCTGTTCCAACAACTTGTCAACACGATATTTTCTCAACGGGCTTGTAGCAAGCTTGTTAACAAGTTGTGACAATGGTGTTCCAACAAGTTGTCAACAAGATATTTTCTCAACAGGCTTGTAGCAAGCTTGTTATCAAGGTGTGGCAATGCTGTTCCAACAACTTGTCAACAAGATATTTTCTCAACAGGCTTGTAGCAAGCTTGTCAACAAGTTGTGACAATGCTGTTCCAACAACTTGTCAACAAGATATTTTCTCAACGAGCTTGTAGCAAGCTTGTTAACAAGTTGTGACAATGCTGTTCCAACAAGTTGTCAACAAGATATTTTCTCAACAGGCTTGTAGCAAGCTTGTTATCAAGTTGTGGCAATGCTGTTCCAACAACTTGTCAACAAGATATTTTCTCAACGGGCTTGTACAAGCTTGTTATCAAGTTGTGGCAATGCTGTTCCAACAACTTGTCAACAAGATATTTTCTCAACGGGCTTGTACACACGTAAAAACGCGCAAGTTGTACCAAACCTGCAGCAGACTTGTAGCAATGCTGTTCCAACAACTTGTCAACAGGATGTGTTCGCACTGCTTGTTCCCAGCTTGTTGACAAGTTGTCAACGGCTTGTCGACAACTTGCTACAAGGTTATTGAGTTCAACAGACTTGTTACAAGTTGTTCCAACAACTTGTTATCGTCCTGCAATTCAACAACTTGTCAACAAGTTGTGAGTGACAAGCTTGTAGCAACTTGATAAAATAACAGCGTTGTTACAACTTGTTGGCAAGGTTGCTACAAGCCTGTTGCGAACACATCTTGTTGACAAGTTGTGAGATTTTTACGTATGTAGCAAGCTTGTTAACAAGTTGTGACAATGCTGTTCCAACAACTTGTCAACAAGATGACTCCTCAACAGGCTTGTAGCAAGCTTGTCAACAAGTTGTGATAATGCTGTTCCAACAACTTGTCAACAAGATATTTTCTCAACAGGCTTGTAGCAAGCTTGTCAACAAGTTATGACAATGCTGTTCCAACAACTTGTCAACAAGATATTTCCTCGACAGGCTTGTAGCAAGCTTGTTAACAAGTTGTGACAATGTTGTTCCAACAAGTTGTCAACGAGATATTTTCTCAGCAGGCTTGTAGCAAGCTTGTTATCAAGTTGTGACAATGCTGTTCCAACAAGTTGTCAACGAGATATTTTCTCAGCAGGCTTGTAGCAAGCTTGTTATCAAGTTGTTACAATGCTGTTCCAACAACTTGTCAACAAGATATTTTCTCAGCAGGCTTCTAGCAAGCTTGTTATCAAGTTGTGACAATGGTGTTCCAACAACTTGTCAACAAGATATTTTCTGAACAGGCTTGTAGCAAGCTTGTTAACAAGTTGTGACAATGCTGTTCCAACAACTTGTCAACAAGATATTTTCTCAACGGGCTTGTAGCAAGCTTGTTAACAAGTTGTGACAATGCTGTTCCAACAACTTGTCAACAAGATATTTTCTCAACGGGCTTGTAGCAAGCTTGTTAACAAGTTGTGACAATGCTGTTCCAACAACTTTTCAACAAGATATTTTCTCAACAGGCTTGTATTAAGCTTGTTAACAAGTTGTGACAATGCTGTTCCAACAACTTGTCAACAAGATGACTCCTCAACAGGCTTGTAGCAAGCTTGTTAACAAGTTGTGACAATGCTGTTCCAACAACTTGTCAACAAGATATTTCCTCAACAGGCTTGTAGCAAGCTTGTTAACAAGTTGTGACAATGCTGTTCGAACAACTTGTCAACAAGATATTCAGGTAGATGTTTATGCCCGGCGTTAAATATGTTCGGCATAAACATTCGACTTAGATCTTTATGCCGTTGAAGCCCTGCGTTGGATAATATAGCCCTGCGAAGTTTCCAGTTTTTCAGTCATTTTGTATTACCCGCGGGATATTGATACCTTTTTTTCAGAAAGCGGTGCCAATTTACCGGGCGTAATATACAAAATGACTGAAAAGGGGCAAACTTCGTAGAGCTATATTATCCGCATTTTACAACATTTCGCAACGAAAATTACTAATTTTGTGATGCTCTTTCAAGTTTGAAGCTGTGGTGACATTTTTGTTTAGACTTGTTGAGATCCAAATTTTGATTATTGGGTAATAGGTCCATTTGTGTGTGAGGTTTGCCTTGTTGGGATTTCCCCAGACCGTTCGCCGTTTCTTTCTAACATAGTATTGTAAACTTCCAAGCGAGTTTGATTAAAGCTTCTTATTATTGACAGATGATTTTCAAGACGGAAACAATTCAGAATGTCATGACGACTGCTGGGCTGTTAAAGACTGGAGTGCTAGGAAAGGCACGCGCTCAAGTCTGTCCATGGTAATGTTTTGCTCAATGCAAACAGTCAAAGACATAATAATATTGTTTTTGTATTTTTGAGTAAGAGGCGATTTTTTTATATTTGCGTATTTTCGATGAGAATGTGTTCGACGACATTTTAAACATTGAATTCAGAAACATTCAAAAATCCTCTTTTATTTCGTTAATGAAAAGTTGCCCGGATATACCTTGAATATTACCGGTATTACCATTCAACTTGTAGTTGACTGTCTTCGGCATAACCATTAAACTTGGATGATTATGCCGTTGAATGTCGTCGGCATAACTGTTCGACTTGGATGGTTATGCCGTTGAATGTCTTCGGCATAACTATTCAACTTGGATGGTTATGCCGTTGAATGTCTTCGACATAAGCATTCAACTTGGATGAAAGCGCGGGGCCATATTTATACAGCAATATAAGCAAAACTTACTGAACCTCAGAGATCATTTTCTCCTTGCCGTACCATCTAAAATCTCCTCACTTTGGCGTTATTTTACAGATGAAGGACTAAACATACTTTTAAGTTTGTTTGCCGTTTGAGAAACGCATCAAATTTTTTTAAAATTGAATACAGTCATAACCAAATGGAAAGTAGTATATTCCTTAGTTTTGAGCGCGTATTACGTAACATACAAAAGATTCTCCTCTTAATTTCAAATCTCTTGTAGGGACAATCTTTGTCGTTCTCAGAAGACTCGTCAAAAGGACGAAAATTGTTACGAGCAATTCCTCGTCAGGTACAGAGGATTTTTTTGTATATTTCGATGGTTCATCTGGGTATCATTGAACAACAATGATCAATCTTTATTACAGATCACCCAAGCTTTGCAGGCAGATATTTTATGGAGTATGGGATACACTGGTGAAGATGTCAAGGTGGCGATCTTTGATACAGGTTTACATAAACAACATCCACATTTTAAAAACATCAAGGACAGAACTAACTGGACGAATGAAAAATCAATGGATGATGGTACGTTGAACTAGCAAAAAAATGTTCCTTACTGGACCTCTAGGGAGAACATTTTAGAACTGATTGAACTATCCAGTATAAATTAAGTCAGTTTAGTTTAGGTTTCTTCCTGTAGTAACACTGGATCAATAAGAGATGATCCTTACTGGACCTCTAGGAACAACAGTTTAGAACTGATAGAGCTATCCAGTATAAATTAAGTCAGTTTAGTTTAGGTTTCTTCCTGTAGTAACACTGGATCAATAAGAGATGATCCTTACTGGACCTCTAGGAACAACAGTTTAGAACTGATAGAGCTATCCAGTATAAATAAAGTTAGTTTAGTTTAGGTTTGTCCACTATAAATAAAGTTAGTTTAGTTTAGGTTTTCCTCCTGTAGTAACACTGGATCAATAATAGATGACCCTTACTGGACCTCTTGGAAGAACAGTTTAGAACTGACAGAGGTGTCCACTATAAATAAAGTTAGTTTAGTTTAGGTTTTCTCCTGTAGTAACACTGGATCAATAAAAGATGACTCTTATTGGACCTCTAGATAAGAACAGTTTAAAACTGATAGAGCTATCCGTATTCCAAGATAGTTTATCCCAGTTTAGTTTGATACAACAAAGTGATTTTCTTTGATTAGGTCTTGGTCATGGAACATTTGTAGCTGGTGTCATTGCAAGCTCCAAAGAATGTTTGGGATTCGCACCAGATGCAGAGCTACATATCTATAGGGTGTTTACTAATAACCAGGTGAAATGTTGTTTATTCTGTATATAGTGGCTGTATCGGTGTGCGAAATTCTGGGTGTGTGAATATACACACGAAAAACGCAATGAAATGCAATGCTGTTTCAACAACTTGTCAACAGGATGTGTTTGCGCTGCTTGTTGACAACTTGCTACAAGGTTGGTGAGCTCAACAGACTTGTTACAAGTCGTTTCAACAATTCGTTACGGTCCTGCAATTCAACAATTTGTCAACAAGTTGTGAGGGAGAACCTTGTAGCAACTTGATGAAATAACAGCATTGTTACAACTTGTTGACAAGCTTGCTGCTGTACAAGCCTGTTGCGAACACATCTTGTTGACAAATTGCGAAAATCACCATCCTTTTCTTGCTGCATGTTAAAAGGAATTTTGCACGTTTTTCAAACATGTTTATTAATACCCGTTACCAGCCATGGATTTACTGACATTTCCTATTAAAAAACTCAATTCCTTCGTTCAGGTGTCGTATACTTCATGGTTTCTTGACGCTTTCAACTACGCCATTTTGAATAAAGTGAATGTTTTAAACTTGAGTATTGGTGGACCAGACTTTATGGATCAACCTTTTGTTGATAAGGTTTGTTTCAAAAGCTAATCAACTTTATTTATACTGGATAGCTCTATTAGTTCTAAACTGTTCCTCCTAGAAGTCCAGTAAGGATCATCTCTTATTGATCCAGTGTTACTACAGGAGGAAACCTAAACTAAACTAATTTTATTGATACTGGATAGTTCTATTAGTTCTAAACTATTCTTCCTAGAGGTCCAGTAAGGGTCATCTCTTATTGAACCAGTGTTACTACAGGAGGAACCCAAACTAAACTAACTTTATTGATACTGGATAGCTCTATTAGTTCCAAACTATTTCTAGAGGTCCAGTAAGGGTCATCTCTTATTGATCCAGTGTTACTACAGGAGGAAACCTAAACTAACTTTATTTATACTGGATAGCTTTATCAGTTCTAAACTGTTCTTCCTAAAGGTCCAGTAAGGATCATCTGTTATTGATCCAGTGTTACTACGGTGTTTCGTATATAGGTTTGGGAGCTAACTGCAAATGGTGTAATTATGGTATCAGCAATTGGAAATGATGGTCCACTGTATGGGTAAGGCGACACCTTTTGTGTCTCTAAAATAAAAGTATTAATGTTGAATGGGCTTTTACGTAACACTCAGCATTGTTTTCAAAATCCCACTGTTCTCCATGCCATCCAGTCACGCATTGTTTTGACACATTTCTGTCGTCATGCAAAGGCTCATTGATACGACTTGATGTGAATTTTTAGGACATTGAACAATCCCGCGGATCAAATGGACGTTATTGGTGTGGGTGGAATCAATTTTGAAGATCAAATTGCGAGATTCTCTTCCAGAGGAATGACAACATGGGTACTGTATTTATTGGGTTGCATTGGTTTGTGTCTAAACCTGGTTTCTACTGTATATTGTCGTAAAGATAGAGTCGCTATCTTTCTCAACAGTTAGATTATAATAGTTCTTTACCTTTAAACCACATTTCAAACACTCATTAATAATTCATAAGCTTATTGGCAAATCATGTCAACCATAATATGTCACGTGCAGTGCCTTTAAACCTGATAAAACACTCCTAATTAGTATTTTTTATATAAAGAATACTAATAAGGCAGTATCTATTGTAGTCGTGTCCTCATTAGTATTCTTTATATAAAGAATACTAATAAAGCAATATATCTATTGAATTTGTAGTCGTGTTTGAAGCCGTTCAATAAACTCGCAGGTCGTGTTTTATTAGGTCTAAAGCCACTCGCGCTGCGCGCTCGTGGCTTTAAACCTAATAAAACACTCCTGCTCGTTTATTAAACAGTACATAAATCATAAGTATTCCCTATTTATAATCATTCTGCCTATTTTCAGTTCTATACTGTTGTATTTCGGCTGTTGAGAAAGATCGTGACTCAATAATTACAACCGTTACGACCATATGGAAACCAGACTCAAACAAACTGAACAAAATTCCAACTACACTCGTAATAACGCACAAGTTGTTACAGGTCTGCAAACAAGTTGTTACAAATTTGTTCACAAGCTGTCGACAAGTTGTGTTCGCACTGCTTGTTCCCAGTTGTTGTAACAAGTTTGGAACAAGCTGTTAACAACTTGTGACAAACTTGATGGCATTATCAGACTTGTTACAAGGTTGTTCTAACAAGTCTGATACAGTCATGATATAACAAGAATGTTACAAGGTTGACGACACAACGTTGTAACAATATTGTTATATCATGACTATATCGGACTTGTTGGAACAACCTCGCTACAAGTCTGATAATATCAACAAGGTTGTTACAAGTTGTTAACGGCTTTGCTGCAAATTTGTTGACAACTTGGGACAAGCAGTGCGAACACAACTTGTTGACGGCTTGTTGGCAGACTTGCTACAAGATGTGGGATTTTTACGTGTATAATACTTATTGAATATTAACTGTGTTCACTTTAGGAATTGCCAGCAGGGTATGGTCGCGTCAAGCCTGATATTGTTACCTATGGATCTGGCGTTCGTGGATCAAATTTAAGGTTAAATTAATTTGTCTTTAGGGGCCATTCACAAAGGATGTCCGAGCCGAGGGGGGGGAGGGGGGTTTGGAAAATCAGGACAAACTCGGACATAGGGGGGGAGGGGGGGTTTTTAACAATCCAGATGTCCGAAATTTAAAAAAATTCAAAAACAAATTTCTTTTTCCCTCTATTTTGAGCAGTCCTTCCCATTGTGAAATTGGCATTTTGACTATGCGGTTAACACTAGATTTTGTTTTAATTAGTAATTTATATGTTTTTGTGTTCACATTTACAGTTATAAAAAAGTTCTAAAAGTAAAAAAGTTTTTTACTCTTGATATATACAAGGTTGCGTGAGTTTTTGCGAGGCATGGCGGATGTCCGGGGGGTCACTAATTCGGACAATGCCGGACAAGGGGGGGAGGGGGGGTCTGAAAATCCATCATTTGGCCGGACATCCTTTGTGAATGGCCCCTTACTTATTCAACTTTATTCAGCAAAAATCCCATAGCCTTTCAGGAGGACTGCTTGTTCCCAGTTGTTGACAAGTCTGGAACAAGTTGTTATCATCTTGTAACAAGGTTGACGAGGCCAACAGACTCGCAACAAGTCGTTCCAACAAGTCTGATATCGTCTGCACGTAACAAGTTGTTAACAAGTTGATGACAACAAGCTCGTAGCAACTTGTTATGAACAGCCTGTATTAGTCTTGTGGAACGACTTGTAGCAAGTCTGTTACCGTCATCAACCTTGTAACAAGGTGATAACAACTTGTTCCAGACTTGTCACAACAACTGGGAACAAGTAGTGCGAACACATCTTGATATCGGCTTCACAACAACCTTGTTACGACTTGTTTGAAGTTCTGGAGCTGAACAGCATCTGGCTATACCAAGATCTTATTTTGTTTTCAATAGAGGTGGTTGTCGATCATTATCGGGTACCAGTGTTGCATCGCCTGTTGTCGCTGGAGCGATTTCTTTGTTGCTCAGGTATTTCATTTTAGTTCTCATTGTGCGTGCGCCAGCGCTCTCCCCTTGAGTCTTGACGAGTAATATCGGCTAATGTTTATACCCAATTGTCAACTTTAGATAATGTCCGACCAATTGACCATTTGCGTAATAGACTAAATTTTGATCTCAACAAAAATTTCATTACAGCTTGAAAGAGCGTCACAAAATTAGTAATATTCCAAAGTTTCGTTGCAAAATGTTGTAAAATGCGGAAAATATAGCCTTGCGGAATTTGCAATTTTCAGTCATTTTAGATTACAAACCGGAAATTGACAACCTCGAAGGGTTTGGGGCTGTCAATTTCCCGTTTGTAATCTAAAATGACTGAAAATTGCAAATTTCGCAAGGCTATATTTTCCGCATTTTACAACATTGTGCAACGAAACTTTGGAATATTACTAATTTTGTGATGCTCCTTCAAGCTGTTTTTGTTTGTCTAGACTTGTTTAGTTCAAAATTTAGTCTATTACGCAAATGGTCAATTTAGCATTGGGTCGGAAAATGTCCGATGTCCGACCCAGCCTAGACTAGGCCTTCTATTTTTATTATTTTTTAATATTCAGCGATTTTTCGCATGAGAAGACTGAGACCTAGGCGATTTGGAGGGCGGGGCGGAGGAAGGGCGATACTTACCAAATACTAGCACGAAATTGACCAAACCTGCCAAAGCCAGCCGAGTAGAGGCCTAGGTCTGAGGCGGTGCTATGGGTCAATACATTACGTGGTTTTGTTGAATCAATATGTTATAATTACGATGTTTTTTCGTAGTTCTGTGAGGCACCGTGGAGATGTGATCAATCCAGCCAGTATGAAGCAGGCGTTGTTGGCTTCCGCGAGACGAGTCCCTGACGCAAATATATTCGAACAAGGTGAGGGAGCGAGGATAACTGTCCTGCTTGACTTGTCACATTCTTTGTAGTGCATGTGTATTGAAAAAACTTGAGATTTGAAGCTTATTTTACACACGTAAAAATCTTTAGAACAACTTTGTAACAAGTCTGATAATGCCATCAACCTTGTTACAAGTTGTTAACACCTTGTTCCAAACTTGTTACAACAACTGGGAACAAGCAGTGCGAACACAACTTGTTGACAGCTTGTGAACTGATTTGGATAATGATGTTACAGTCTTGTTACGAGTTGTTGTGGCAACATGTCAGCGATAGTCCTGCAACGTTGACACGTTGTTAACAAGTTGTCAGTGACAAAGTTACAACATATTGTTGCAAGTTTGTTGTGGACACCGTTAGTTGGCAAAAAGTGGAAATTGAACGTATTCTGTGTATTTAGGTCATGGCAAACTTGACTTGATCAAAGCTTATCAAGTTCTATCCAGTTATAAACCTCAAGCAAGTCTGAGTCCAAGTTATGTTGATCTCACGGAATGTCCGTACATGTGGCCGTATTGTGTCCAGCCTCTGTATGCATTTGGTTTGCCCGTCATTGTCAATGTAAGTGAAGTTCCCAGGGGGTATTTTGGGTTTTGGGACTTGGGTGGGAGCTCCGCCCCCCCCCCCAATTTCAGGGGTTTTTTATTTGGGGGGGAATTCCCCCTCCTATAGTCACAAACCCAGACGTCATTTCCTACGCTCACCTATTTCCAAGTAAGGGGATAGAAATGAAGTCTGAATTCACGCACCTCTAAGTGATTACCCATTTTTATACCCCCAGAATTTAGCTATTTTTAGATCTGGGGGGAATTCCGGAATTACTGGGAAAGACCTCGTCATCCCAGTAACAGACAAACCCACTTACTCTCTCTCTCATTTATTATTATTATTAAGGTTTAGCAACAAAAAAATTGTTTACAGGGAACACTTTTTCAATTTTAGGTGACTATATTGAATGGAATGGGAGTCACTGGTTCCGTGGTAGGCAAGGTATTATCTTAAACTCATTAATAATTCATGAGTAAATTAGCCAACCATATTGCTTTATTTTGCTCACATGATAATACTGGATACCTGGTAAAGTATATTGATCCCGTCCTAGGACTGGATCAAAATTAATCCGTCCGTTGGTTTCTAAGGATCACGTATTTTGTATTTTCCTTGTAGCCTGTTTGGCATCCCTATTTGCCGCAAAACGGGGACAGAATTGACGTAAGTTGAATAGAATCAGTGATTATGAAGTGTTGAAACAGTTGTTATTGTATGTGTTTTTCATTTGGTCTTACCCAGGCTGGTCTTAGAGTAGTCACTTACTAGTAGATTGACTTACCGTAAAAAATCTCACATCTTGTAGCAAATCTGCCAACAAGCCGTCAACAAGTTGTGTTCGCACTGCTTGTCCCAAGTTGTCAACAAGATTGGAACAACTTTGTTGATATCAGATTTGTTGCAAGGTTGTTCCAACAAGTCCGATACAGTTATGATTTAACAATATTGTTACAACCTTGTGTCGTCAACCTTGTAACATTCTTGTTATATCATGACTATATCAGACTTGTTAGAACAACCTTGTAACAATGATAATGCCATCAAGCTTGTTACAAGTTGTTAACAGCTTGTTCCAAACTTGTTACAACAACAAACTTGTTACAGCAGTGCGAACACAACTTGTCGACAGCTTGTGAACAGATTTGTAACAACTTGTTTGCAGACCAGTAACAACTCAAAATTATTCCTTCGTAGATTTCGTTTTCATATTCGCAAATCTTATGGCCATGGTCAGGATTTCTTGCACTCTCCATCCGGGTAACTCCAGCCTCATCCACGTGGTCTGGAATCGCCCAGGGTCACGTGGCGTTGAATATTTCATCTCCGCCCCAGGTAAGACTGTAGCTTTGCCATGGGTTCCGTTTGCAAGTGACTGAATTTGGAGCCGTGCTCACAAGATGTGTTCGCAACAGGCTTGTAGCAAGCTTGTCAACAAGTTGTAACAATGCTGTTATTTCATCAAGTTGCTACAAGGTTGTCACTCACAACTTGTTGACAAATCGTTGAATTGCAGGACGATAACAAGTTGTTGGAACAGCTTGTAACAAGTCTGTTGAGCTCAACGACCTTGTAGCAAGTTGTCAACAAGCCATTGACAACTTGTCAACAAGCCATTGACAACTTGTCAACAAGCTGGGAACAAGCAGTGCGAACACATCCTGTTGGCAAGTTGTTGGAACAGCATTGCTACATGTCTGCTACAGGTTTATTACAACTTGTGCGTTTTACGTGTGTATACGCGGTGGGCATAAAAGCACACGAATATTTGCACATCTAGGGATTAATACAAGCATTTTAATCTAAGCATTTAGACCAAGATATGCTGACCTATATTATTTTTCGTAGCAAAATTTCAATATTTTGAATGAATCATATAGTCTATCAAGATATGATGATCTGGGAACTAAACAGAAGTCATTGTTTGATGTTTTTGTCGGAGTTTATGTTAATTTGTGCACGGTCAAGGTTGTTGAGCTCATTGTATTTTCGTATAATGAAGTAATCGTCCAATAGGGACAGCTGAGATGAAACGTGCAACCACGATGAATAATATCTAACGAAGATGCTTGTGTGATGTTACTCTGAGTGTATATTCTGAGTGTATACTCTGGTGTGGATATACACTCAGAGTAACATTACACAAGCATCTTATTCACCTGAGTACATTACACCAACACAGCAAATAATATCTAACGAAGTTGAGACAAAGGATTTGTGCACGGTTAGGTACATTTCAACATCAAACAAAGCTCTTCTATTTTGTGGCTTTGAAGTTTGCCTGGCTTCCAGATCATCATATCTTCAGAGATTTTGCTCCTCAACATGGCTCTGTGTTTATAATCTCTCTGTGTTGTTATGATTCAGGGTGATGAAATGGAGAGACGTATGTCGTTGATAAAGTTGCCAGTCAAAGTGAAAATAATACCAACTCCTGATAGAAGGTAAGTTTGAATTTTGGCTGGTTTATATCCAATTCATAAGTTTAAAAACTCGCATGTTACTATTGCTCTAGTATAACAGAAGGTATAAAATAGAACAAAGGTGACTAAGGAAGGAAGGTTTAGACTTCAGACGGTATTTCGTCACAGAATAAAGATCAGTAACAGAAGGGCCACTCAGCGGTGCAACGTGTCCGCATTTTTTATGAAAAAATATGCAGTTTACTGGCCAGAAGGCGGAGCAGCCAGCCAGTACAGCGTGTTTATTGGCCAGAAAATGTCATTGACTGGCTAGGAAAATGGCGGCCAACATGCGTAATGCGACATGCGCGAGGACAGAAACTTCAAAGCTTCCGACGTAAGTGGCCCTTCTATATGGATCTTTATTCTATGATTTCGTCAAGAAAGGTTTAGACTTCAGATATTTTTTAATCTGTGTGAGTCATAGATATCTTATATACACTAGATGGCGCATCTCATTTATTAAAATTGAAGCCAAGAATATTCCAGCGGTTACCTCCATTTGAATAGATGGCGGCCATATTGGTCGTTCCCACTTGCTAATAAACGCTAAGAAACAACAATAACTTTCATCATTTGAATAGTTTAAAAACGTATTTGTAATAAGGTTAACTTAATCTTTAAGTTCCATGTTTAAGAAATAGAAAACATACGAATCTTCTCATTTCATGGGAACGACCTGAGACTGCAATCACGGCTTCAATTTTTGAATTGCAGAATAATTAGATGCACTATCTAGTGTATATAACATATCTATGGTGTGAGTCCGTGAAACGAACCCGCAAAAATTTTTCTTGATCGATCTTCAGAGCAATGTTTTTCGGTCTACACTTTATAGGGAGAGTTGTAAAAGTGGTATTTATATAATTATAAAATGGCCGTAAATATTACGGGACGGAAGAACGAAGGGCAAGAACGCATGCGCATTAGTGATCTTTTTTTGAGTTAGTGTAGCTAGTTTCACGCTACCGCTGATCCGCTACTTGCTACATTCGAAAATGAAACGAACCAAAGGGCCTGGGTGAATTTGTCTACTATATTGCGCCATTGCCATCAATAGCAATTTCCAATTTACCCTATTGTTTGAGTCACTGATACATGTAGGTAACTTTCCTAAAACATTGCTATTGCTTAGTTGGGCAAAAATACAATACGCACGTGACGGTGAAGGACCAGATTTATGAATAAACGTTGACTAACATAGATAATGAGTTATATTGTTATTCTAATGAGTTTCACAGCCATCGATAAGCTATGATTACGCCAGAGACAAAACTTGTATTATTTGGTCAAGGAAGGTTTAGACTTCAGACGGTAGCACAGAGGCGATACATACAGAGCTGTAACTGAGCGTTGTAAACACTGCGGAAACTTACGTTTTCATGTACCCACTTTTTTCAAGCGACCATTTTTTAGACGTTTTTAGGCACTCGGAAAGGTTTCGAAATTGACAAAATCTTGCAAAAATACAACTTGCAAGAAATGTTTGTTATTTCGCTGTCGTCATGCAGTCGCTATAATGCAAATTTCAAATTTGACCAAACAGTGTTCACGATTCACGACAGTCCGCTACATATTTTGAGATCAGTGAGAATGACCACCCACTCAACACCGTTGGTGAGCCACGCCCGCGATCATTGATGAACTTTAGACTTCGCTAATGCTTTCGTTTCCCCGGGTGTAAATAGCCGGGGGGGTATTAGTATCCTCGCCCCGGGACATTGAATGTCCATTTTATTCATTCTAAACCTGTTTTGACTGTTTATATGCTACTGATTTTGATCGTTTATATTGATCGTTAAATATTGATCGTTTATATTAAACACTGGGTACTGTAAGAAGGAGTGTATAAGGTACAAAAGTTATGTTTCTCCAACATTATGTTTCTCCTCTGTATATATATCTACTTTGTGACGGCAGTTTTATTCATATTTTCAATTTTTAATAGTGATGGGTGATTACCACCGATTACTTGGAATCGATACCACCCGATACGAGGCCCAAATCGGAAGTAGTCGATACTGCACGGTATCGAAAAAGTGTTTTGATTACTTTTAAAATTAGACATTCATTATAATGCTGCAGTTGTGTTATCGTTTTCATGGCTATTTCTAATAAAATTTATGTACTTTTTGTATTTTGCTGCATTTACCAATTTAATCAAACTTCTTTTACTTTATTTGACATTCTATCCACTTCCCTGATTAATATTCCTGACCTCGTCGACAGAATAAATTATGAAAAAGGCGGGAAATAAATTATTTTTTGTTTTTTCATGGATTATAATGGCGGGAAATTCTGAAATACAATCGTCGTCGTAATAATCGTTTGGGTAATCGATACCTCGAATCGATACTGGTGGTATCGCTCATCACTATTTTTTAATCTGTGATGAGGTCCGTAAAACGAACCCGCAAAAATATATTTTATAGGGGTTTTTTTTTGTTGGAAGTTATAGACTAACGCAAATCTTTATAAGGGTGAGTTTATATAATGATAAAATGGCCGTAAACATTACGGGACGGAGGAACGAAGGGCAAGAACGCATGCGCATTTGTAATCTTTTTTGTGCTAGCGTAGGTAGTTCCGCAGGTTTTGGTAGGTACAAAGTGCCGGTTGTACTAGCCAAGGATGGCGTGATTGATGACGAATTGCTTCTAAAACGCGGACAAAAACTTGCTTGAGTTACACTTCTGTTATACTTTCCTATTCTGTGACGCTTCGCTACGATACGGGCGAAGTGGAAAACAGGCTTTAAGCACAAACTTTTGGGTCCGTAAACGAACCCGCAAAAATTCATTTTTAATTTTACTGCAAAAATGTTAAAGAAATAAAGATGTCTTGGGTTGTGAAAATCTTGTTTATATAACGATAAAATGAGCGTAAATATTACGGGACGGAGGAACGAAGATGCAAGAAAAGAATGCGCATTTGTAACAGTTTTGCTAGAATGGAAATTATTACATTCCTTGTAAAACCTCGGTAAATAGACCTTATGCGTTATGACGTCACAAGGCTTGATACCCGCGAGTATAATAACACGTAATAACATTTTTTTATTTTGTATTTCAGCAAGAGAATACTGTGGGATCAATATCATAATTTACGATATCCTCCCGGCTATTTTCCTCGAGATAATTTAAAAATGAGAAATAATCCATTAGATTGGTAAGTCGCCATATTTCATTTACCTGACGCTGTTGTGCAGAAATGAACAAGTCTGCGGGACTTTGGCTTTTTTGATCCAGTGTTACTACAGGAGGAAACCTAAACTAAACTAAACTAAACTTTATTTATTTATACTGGATAGCTCTATCAGTTGAATCAGTTCTAAACTGTTCTTCCTTGATATCCAGTAAGAATCATCTCTTATTGATCCAGTGTTACTACATGAGGAAACCTAAACTAACTTTATTTATACTGGATAGCTTTATTAGTTCTAAACTGTCCTTCTTAGAGGTCCAGTAAGGATCATTTCTTATTGATCCAGTGTTACTACAGGAAGAAAACTAAACTAACTTTATTTATACTGGATAGTTCTATCAGTTCTAAACCGTTCTTCCTAGAGGTCCAGTAAGGATCATTTCTTATTGATCCAGTGTTACTACAGGAAGAAAACTAAACTAACTTTATTTATACTGGATAGTTCTATCAGTTCTAAACCGTTCTTCCTAGAGGTCCAGTAAGGATCATTTCTTATTGATCCAGTGTTACTACAGGAAGAAAACTAAACTAAACTAACTATTCTGTTTTTTCTAGGAATGGTGATCATGTCCACACAAATTTCCGAGATATGTTCAATTACATCACAAAGCAAGGTTACTTCGTCGAGGTGCTTGGTAAGTTTTATTCACTATATTTTACCAAAGCTTTATTTCTCAACTTGGCAGGGTCCACCTGTTCAAATTTCTGTTACTTTTTAGGTTCGCCGTTTACATGTTTTAATGCCTCACATTATGGTATGTGTTTTTTTTTATTTACTCTTAAAAATCTCTCCTTCAGTAAAGCCCCGTGGCAAGTTTACCTTGACAAGTTCTATTTGCTTGTGTTTACGGCAAAGAATTCACAATTTTTCCTTCCCAGGAAGCCTTGTTCCAACAAGTCTGATATCGTCTGCACGTAACAAGTTGTTAACAAGTTGATGGCAACAAGCTCGTAGCAACTTGTTACGAACAGTCTGTATTAGTCTTGTTGGAACAACTTGTAGCAAGTCTGTTACCGTTATCAACCTTGTAACAAGGTGATAACAACTTGTTCCAGACTTGTCACAACAACCTTGCTAAACTTATGTAAAAATGCACAAGTTGTTACAGGTCTGCAAACAATTTGTTACAAATCTGTTCACAAGCTGTCGACAAGTTGTGTTCGCACTGCTTGTTCCCAGTTGTTGTAACAAGTTTGGAACGAGCTGTTAACAACTTGTAACAAGCTTGATGGCATTATCAGACTTGTTACAAGGTCGTTCTAACAAGTCTGATACAGTCATGATATAACAAGAATGTTACAAGGTTGACGACATAAGGTTGTAACAATATTGTTATATCATGACTGTATCGGACTCGCTGGAACAACCTTGCAACAAGTCTGATAATATCAACAAGGTTGTTAATAGCTTGTTCCAAACTTGTTGACAACTTGGGACAAGCAGTGCGAACACAACTTGTTGACGGCTTGTTGGCAGACAAGCCGTCAACAAATATCTCACATCTTGTTGCTACAAGATGTGAGATATTTTAGTCCTTGTTTTTCCTCCAGGAACATTGGTGATCGTTGACGCGGAAGAAGAATACTTCCCGGAAGAAATGGTCAAGCTACGCGAAGACATTGAGAAGCTCGGTCTTTCGTTGATCGTCGTTGGAGACTGGTATAATATCGAAGTGATGAAGAAGGTGAAATTTTATGACGAGAACACGCGGCAATGGTGGATGCCGGATACGGGGGGAGCGAATGTTCCCGCGCTCAACGAACTTCTCGCGCCCTGGAGGATGGCATTTAGTGACCAGGTCTACGAAGGCGATTATCGTCTTGCTGATAATGCAGGTAAAACGTTCACATCATATTGACAAGAAAGAATGGAGAGATTTTTTTATACAACCCCCTAATCGAATCATAATTGCGAGCTTATTCTCGATTTCAGGGATGGATCCAGCATGATCTAGTAGGGGGGGGGGGGGGG